CTTTTCCAGCAACCCGAACAGAAGAAGGAGCAATTGAAACCGGGAATTGGATTCCATGGGGTCTGCGATTGGTGTTCTATATTGTTTCGGAAGAACAAGCATATGTTATGCTACAATCGGGTGCATCGGCGGCCTAGAAAACGAGTCCGCGTTCGCAGGCCTTTTGAGGCTTCCGACTCTCGGGCCCCGGTTGTAATTCACGTTGTTCTTCAAGTCTATTCAACTTATTGTATTTTTTATGAAGGAGGCGTGAGATGGGTACAACACATTCCAAGAGTCATATATTTTTTTCAAGGATCATCAGTTGGCATGGTACGACGGACCGGAAACTATTCATACCACTCTTGAAACCTACTTGAAAGTCCTGTCTCATGTCACATCTCCTCCAAAATCCAAAATCTTTCCAAAAACAACATCTCTCCTCTCCTCCAAAATCTGTCCAAACCATGTATTTTCCTTACTCTCGCTTGTTTGCATACGCAGGGGCTGATGCTGATGCTGATCCAGAGGAGGAAGAGCAAAGTGATTTTGATGGATCAAATCCAGACCTAGAGCTTCAAGCTCCAGCAGACGTGGTGAACCATCAATTCCATGATGCATGTCGTTCTGATGGTGTGTCTTGTCAGAACCTGTGGGATAGAGAATGGAGTTCTACCGGGGGACATGAGATGAGACCTCCGCATCCAAAGTGTAGGAATGTCATTCACACTGTTCCTTAAGTCGGTCCATGCAACAACATCCCTCAGTGTATACAAAGAATATGCAGGTCCTTATGCGCAAATATCTTCAATATCCGTTGCTTCAACACACACACAATCGTATATATATAATATAAATCAATTGTTCCGGTCTGGTGTATATCCGGCGGGGGGGGGATGCACATGAGTTGGGACCTCCAGATCCAAAGCATTGGAAGGGCATTCAAGCTGTACCTTCTCAGGAGAAGAGTTCCGGAGTTGAAGAGGCAGATGATATGTCACAATGGGGCATCGATGAGGAAAGCGATGGAGAGAAGACCAATGAGAATGAGCGGGAAGGCTTGGGAGGTGAAGTGTCAGATGCAGTTGTTAGAGTGCATCGGACCAAGAAGTACATGAATTCACCAGAATTCCTTGAGTTGCAAGAGATGTCAAAGCAAAAAGGCATTACCTTGTACAGGATTCCTCCAATTGCGGGGGCAGGCGTGTGGCGGCACCCGTCTGGGAGTTTTTGGTCATGCCGCTATAGCGAATCATCAGGTTGGGCCACAGCTTCCTGGGGAAATGGAGCCTTGAGCCCTTTACAGTGCCTGTTGAAGATGCTCCGGCACTTAGCTCGAGAGCATGTTTTGAACGCTCCATCTGATGTGGAGAGTTGGAAGGCTTACTTGGCTCTGCTTGAAGCGGCGTGAGAAAAAACATATCGCTTACCTTGACTACATATTTCATTGCATTTTGGCCTTTGCGGCCACATGAGATAGGAAATAAAAGCAGGGGTCAGTGAACACACCCTTTCCCATCTCATGTGTCCCAAAATTCTTGATGACGACCTAGTCCTATCTCATGTGTCCAGGTGTATTCAAAAACAAGGTCCGTAAAAGCATATCTCATCAGTCAGTAGTATAATTGAATCTAACTACCTTCTGAAGATATGGTTGGAGCATGTTGGAGCCCTTGTTGCTAAAGGCAGGACATGGGGAGACTCATCAATTTCCATCGAACCTCGCCTACCCCGTTAGTACTAACAACCTTTAACCTTTTTGGGCGTTGATCTCCCCACTCAAAACCAAGAGATGGAAACAAACTAACAGGTTAACCTTGATCTTCCAGAAGAATGAGGAAGTCAGCTTCTCATCCCTCCAATCCAGCTGGCTCTCCAGGAGAGCCTTTGCTGCGGCGGGCACCATCGTCTCCCCTTCCGACATGCAGCGGCACTTGTACGACGGCATGTTCCGACCTGAGGCGTGAATTCGGAATGAGAGCAAGGAACGCCCATTGGAACGCTCTTTGGTTTGTTTTGCATCTCCTGTGTGTGTGTGGATGATGAGGCCTTTGGATAGAGTTCTAGTCTAGAGTCTAGTCTGAACACTTTCATACCATCTACCACTCGCACTTGGTCACCATTCTGTCATGCAGGCCGGGCATACCATCTACAATGGGATCCCCCTTCAGCAGCTGAACCAGTTCAAGCAGAAGGAAGATCGCAGAAAAGTGCGAGCAGCCTTGGGCTACACAGATGAAGACTTCGTGGTGTTGCACCTGGGGACCGTTTGCAGCAGGACACTCAGAAAAGAAGTTCGATGCGGACCGACGGACCGCGGACGGTCCGCGGGCCTGCAAGACGTGTGGAGCTTCAGTACTTCAAGGGGTGTCCAATGGAGGTCCCTTAGTGGTGTAGGGGCTTCCAGCCAGGTGACCCCGACATGAAGGTGCTGGTATGTATTCCATGTTTCCATGTTTCAGAGCCAGGGCGCCGTGTTTAAGCGCAAATTTTTGATGCTTTTTCGAGCTGCGCTGCGTTTTGAGGGGGAGTGGGGATTTCTGATGATGTCCTTCCTTTTTCAATTTGGCCCTGTGATTGTCATTTGGCTTCTTGGTGGCCTACTAGTGCATGACAAATCTGACAATCCTCGAGTCTAGTTTGTTCCTTTTAGGTCCTTTTTCGTGACTGTTCCATACTTTTCCCAGACTCAGATTCCAAAATTCCGCCATCTCCAAGGAAAGGTCAAGTCTTCTCGGCCACCGCCTGCTCCAAGCTCATTCAAGAGGCCCCCGCGTGATCACGGAGCTGTGCAGTGTTTCGGGCAGCGTGTAGGTGTGCTATCCGTGTTCCTTCTGAGCTGTTGCACGATCGCGGGTCACTGGTGGGATGATGAGACATGCGATCCCAGTTGTTCCGAGTGGTTCTCCTTTCATCGCCAATGAGGGTGGTTTGAGGACTCCATGTTAAAGGTATCCCCCACAGTGATGCCCCTAGTGGTTGGGCCACTGGGAAGTTCACTGCTAGTGAGCACTTTAGGGTGGTTTGTTTCAGTTTCTCGTGAAAGGCCACGGCCATGCCATGCTGAGATTGAGTGCATGATTCTATTTCATCATGATCCTTTCTCCGTTGGAGCATCACAACGTTAGCCTAAGTCTCAACCCAGAAAGGGCTCTTTTAGAAGTCCTTTTCGTTCAGCCCCTGGTTGCTCATCGAGGACGGCTGCAAGAACCTGAAGCAACTCATCGTGGGCGCACGATACATTCGGGATCACGAGATCAAATACATCGACGAGATCTTTAAGGTTGGGCCACGGCTGCCATACAGAATGCACTGAAGGAATACGTCTTCTGAGGGATGTTTGAGTGCTTTGGTGGGAAGCCTGTGCAGTATAATTAGTAGCGTCGTTTATTATTCCTAGGGATCCAAGTACTTTGTCAGAAGGTGATTGGAGACACTGTTATGTAGGTTTGGAGGGTCCAAGTATCTTCTGAGAAGGTACTTGGATCCCTAGGCCCTAGTATATGTTTGCTGCGGTTAATTTGGTGTACGTTCTTTCTTACGCTCCCATGTTTTCCATTGCCATCTTATCTTCTCCCCCTCGAGCTCGTTGCTTTGTCCCACCATGTCCAGCAGGTGGCTGCCTCACATGGAGTGTCCTGCAAGCGTTGGGAGAACCTGACGGAGGATGAGATCGGAAAGCCACAGATCACCATCATGGACATCCAGGCGCGAACAGCGCGTGGTTGGTTTCTGACTTTTTTGTTGGGGGGGTGGAGCATTTGTCACATGTGGCTGTGAGGATCCGTCAGGTTAATCGATATGCATTGTATTGCATTGGCATCCTTTCTAGTCCTTGGCAAACCTCACCACCCCCATCCCGGTGCCCAATCCCACCAACCAGGCGCCGTTTCTCGATCTGAAGTCTCCAGCGCAACGACCGGCTCGCCGGTCGGGGGTCGTTGGACGCCTCGACGACCGGCTTGCCGGGCGATGAGGCGGCGGTCTTACGCTTCTACATGGCCGCTGATGTGGTTCTCGTCGCCTCGCTCAACGAAGTGCTGCCGCTGGTGATTTGCGAGTCGAGCGGCAGAAGAGACGTGGAGGGGAGCTGGAGAGACGTGGAGGGCTGGAGCTGGAGAGACGTGGAGGGTTGAGTTTTCATGAGTTTTCCTTCGGGGTGGGTATATGTATAACATGTCTTTGGATTGGTGGGTTTCGGTTCTTTGATACGACAAGCTAGTAAATGATGATTTGTGAGGATTAATGTTAATAAGACAGCATAATAAGTGCCTTTGTGCACGATTCTTTGAGATCTTTGAGAGCTTAATTGCATCATGCAGGCAAAAGACGAACCGACAAAAGAGAAACACAACGCAGATGGGCAGAGGACGTTCTGTCAAGAGCAGCCAAACTATTGCCGTTGGCAGTCTAATGTGGAATCAATAACACCCCCGCGATGCAGAGGTTTTACCATCCACGTATAGGGGTGTTTTATTCATCAACAGTCTACATTATGTGTGCTATGTGTGCTTTGTACCGTTCATGCTATAACAAGGTCCAGGAGGTTTTATACATGTTGAATCATTTTTAGATTGATGTCAGCTATTCGAGACCACATATGGCAAGCGAGACCACACAAAAAGTGTCATTTAGAACCAGCGTTATTTGGTTCCCAAAGCATCAACCGGACGCTGCATGAACCGGACCACGCCGCTATGGAAAAAACAGAACTGGGGCCGTCGCTTCGGAACGCGTGACCGACGTGAGGTCCATGGCTTTCGAGCGCCCCGTGGTGTGCAGCGACATCGATGCGATCCCAGAGGCCTTGACCGATGGCGTAGCGCCTCGGGATGGAGGTGGAGTGTGGATGTGTGGAGGTTCTCCCAAAACAGTGTGGTCAGCTGAGGGGTTCGTATACGGTAGTATATGAATGTATATGATATAGTTGAGGCCGGGCTTATATAGTGAATTCTGGAATTGTTTTATTGGGCGACTTGTTCTTGTTCAAAATGGAGTGTTCTAGCGTTCTTCATGAAAGGGCAGGGTTTGGGGGAGGGTTCAGAGGCCTTGGTCCTGATGCTCCTGATGGTTAGGCGGATAGAAGATGGTATGGGTGTCGAAGAGCCGATCGACTTAGCCATTTGTAAGACAAATTTGGGTTAACTGTATATAACTATCTCTCAACTGAACTCAATGACTGAGGAGGGCTATTTGGTGCCGCCGGCGAACGCAGATGCTTGGGAGAGATTGAGATGATTCTGACCTTTCATCACTGAAAATAATATCAATGCACTGGTGACTTGTTTTGGCACAAAGATCCGTAGGGAACAGGACCAGTAGAATGATTCTGCTATTGAAGGGTGGACGTTATGAATCAAGAGTCATATTCTGCTGCGTCAAGGCATGTCAAGGCTTGGTGTTGTGTTCTTCGCCCAGACTCCCCCCAAAAAAATAACAACTCGCTGTCAGGATGCCATCCGGCAGAAGGTCTTAAAGCTCTACCGTGATCCGGAGCTCCGACGCCGTATGGGCCAGGCTGGAAGAGCTGCTCGGAGCCTATCACCATGAAGTTCCCAGGTTGGTGGGTTTTGGGTGGCCATGCATGGCAGTGCTGTAGATGCTTGTGGCTGCCATCATGTATTGAATGATATTTCATGTATGTAACCCCCCAGAACGAACGTCTTCCCGTGACGGCGGACCTGAATCCGATGAGTAGAGTCTTGGGGGGGGGCGACAGAGGAATGAAGGAGATGTTTTGCGCTGGTTTTTAGGTGATTTTGGGGCGGTCGAATTAGAGTATATAGATGGAATAGACTCCCATGTATGGAATAGATTCCTTTAATGACCCCAATTTGTAGGTCACTTTTTTTCCATGGATGGTCTGGTAGATTCCTTTTGGGATGATCCCAAAACTAGCAGATTTTGCACATGTCCAGCTCCTTGTCACCTAGGCCCGTGTGTTGCGACAGTTCAGCTATGAGCACATGGGCGAGCGCTACCGGGAACTCTTGGACACCGTACGCAGTTCACCTTCATCGGTTCCGGTGACACAAGGCTTGAGTGAGTTGAAGGCGCGAGTTGCTTGCCACGGGCTCCAGGCACTTGAACTGTTGCATTGGGAGCGGTGCAACGACCAGACACATAGGTCGGTTTCGGGGGTCGCACTCTCGTCAGGTTTGCAACATCATGTTTTTACAACATGTGAAGTTCATGCTTTTCAGCCTTCATTGTTTGGACCAAGCTTGCTTGCCACGTGCTTATGAAGCCATGCTACGTGCTCCAGGGGAAGACGGTGCTGGTGGACATGGACAACACCCTGGTGGACTGGGACGGCGAGTTCATCCGCCGCTTCGCCAAGGCCAGCGGCCGAGCCATCGAGGAGGTGGAAGAGATTGTGCGGAACCGAAAGAAGTTCGAGATTGAGGAGCAGCTTTTGGAGTGTTCTTTTAGGGTTTGGGAACAGCTTTCAGCTTTGGAACAGCTTTAGAGTGTGTGTTGTTTTTTGGGGTTTGGAACCACTTTCGAGGCGTTTTGGAGTGGCTTTGGAGGGGTTTGGGAGTGGTTTTGGAGCAGGTTTGGAGTGGTTTTGGAGCGATTTTTTGACCGAATGTTGCAGAGTCTCGCGCTTTTTAGTGCTATGCAAAGTTTTGGGATATGATTGTGATATTTGATGATATTTGACATTTGTGTGTACACGGAGGGAAGGGGTGTCATGAAGGATGGCGGCCTGGTTTGGTGGCTCGTGCTTGCAGGAGAATTTCCCCGAGGCGGACCGTGCGCTGGTCTTGGACGTCATCGCCTCTCCGGGCTTCTACGAGGTCTTAGAGCCCCTCCCCGGGGCGGTCGAGGCGGACGGCTTAGGATGTAGCGCGGTGTGTCGGGGTGAGAGTTCGGGCCACCAACCACTCATTGTTGGCCTGCGAGTTGTTTGACCAATTGCCAATTGTGTACAAACACCTGGATTCTAAGAGAACGTGTGAGGTGACCAAGGAAACCCAAAGTGCACCTATAGCTCGCGCCGAGACGAAAAACGACCAATCTTCATGATTTGCTGTCCTGGTGGCAGTGGATTTCAACATCGCCTTTGGCAGGGCTTCTTTGAAGAATTTGATCCCCTACAAGTCCTTTTAGAAGTGGATGAACTTCGATCGGTGATGGCTCCACTTGTCCAAGAGATGTGCATGACTTGTACCATTACTTATGTATAAAACCAGCCTTCCTGTTCCGCGAAGAACAGGTTCAGCATGAAGGAGTCCCAAGCGGAGTCCTACTATGTCCAAAAGATTGTGTGAACGACATCCTATATATGAACATCATTTAATATTTGGTCTATTCAAACCCCAAATCTGGTACTCGGGATGGGTGCAGCAAGAAAGCTGGGTTTGGAAGGCTGAACGCCGGTTTCTTCCAAAAAGCTGGTTTGACCATGTTTGAACATCAGCTGGAGGGGAGTTCATTGATTTTTAACTCAAAGAGGTGCGCTGCTATGTGCTGATTCGGGCGGCTGGGTCGTTACATGAACCTTTGGATCGTGGAAAGATCCGGAGCTTCAGGCAGCCAGGTCCAGAACCCTTTGAGAATGTTTCAACTTCCAATCAATTTGATGCCTTTTTTGACCAGGAAGATGGGTAACATGGCGAACTTAACGCGAGCATAAGAAAAAAAGACAAACTGAATGGAGTTTAAACATTCTGTTGTGGAACTGTGTTGGGTGCCGTCCATTGGCTATACGGCTATACCTTTCAAAGTTATACTATATACTCTCACCCAAAGCATCAACGATCCACTGGAAGATGGAAAAAATCGACCAGTCTACCCAGCTACGGGCGAGATCTCGGGGCTCTCCCACATGGAGGAACATGGGTCTCACATCAGCTGCCAGGCCTTGAGCACTCTGGTGACTTCTGGTGTCGACGTGAAGTTGCTCAGTGCTCCACATCCCGTGTGCGCCGCGAGCTGCGCGAGGGAGAAATTCCTCAGCGTGGAAAGGCTGTTGGGTGAGGAGTTCCTCGAGAGGCGGGGCGTGGGACGGGGGGAGTTCGGATGTTGGATGCAATCAACATGGTTTTGTTGGGGGGATTTCACTGGTTTGATTACGACAACTTGTGTGCTAGCAGAACAATAAGGAACTAATATGTATATAATAAGGAACTAGACGGCTAGATGTGTTATTTTGTACTGTACCTGTTCTCGTCTTCTAGCAGGGGCTACGGTTTTAATCCCTTCCACCTAAAAACACACTTCCCCACCACAAAACTAGTTTTCATCAAACAGGGGGGCCCCCGATGGCAAGGAGCTTCAACACTGGAAAGTATTGATTTGATTTGTATCATAAATTGAAAGAATCACTCCAAATCGAAAGGTTTTCCTTTTTCCACTTTAAGGCCCTTTATTAAAAGCTACAGTATACGTCCAATTTGTTCACTTGGAAAGCTCCCATCAGACCAACAAACATGCATTCTATTGATGATGTATATGGATTCCTCGGCGAGTCTCGTGCCATTGGAATTATGGCTGGTGAGCGCCACGGTTGGTTAGTACATCTCATGCTTAAAAACAACTGCCCAAAAATGTCACTCGGGGCATTTTTAGTATTGAACAATGGGCGAACTAACGTGAACTAAATGTTGAGGAGGCCACTCGGGATATCTCGGGATTAATGTCGACGCCGGATTAATCAACGGGCCCCGCCCCCCCCTAGAAGGTCAACAAGGTCAACAAGGTCTGAGATTGGAGGTTTTGGAGATCACATCCCCCTAATAGTGGGGATGACCTGATGATGAAAGGGAATTAGTATTTGGAAGAATTGAGATGAAAGGGAATTAGTATTTGGAAGAATTGGAATGAAAGGGAGTTAGTATTTGGAAGAATTGAAATGAAAGGGAATTAGTATTTGGAAGGGTTGGGATGAAAGGGAATTAGTATTTGGAATGCAATGTGTGGAAATGCACTGCCTATCAAGAGATGGCATGGGAAAAGAGTGGATCAGAAGATCAGTTTCACCATGGCAAGACAAGAAAATATTGAACAGGCAAAAAGAACAAAACTAATTAAACACACATATATATATATATATATTTAAGTATATAATTTTTTTTCCTGGTGGGACAGGGGGTAGACTAATAGGGGGGGGTTCAGCCAAGCAATTTTTTTATTAGAGGGTGGTGACTGTGGAAATTCATAGTTCAAATTAGTTTATTTTTGGGGCCTGACTGCTGGGTAGACTAATAGGGGGGGTTGGTTAATCCTATGTTGACATTATATACAGTTAGTTTTGACATCCCCACTCAGGATTGGGGTTGAATTGCAGTTGCGTTGGAGTTTTTACCAAGCCTAGGTGCCAAAGATCTATAATAGTATTTCGGCAACATGTTGTTCTCGAGCTATTGTGTGTACGTTTGGTTTGTCCGTGGGCATCCTTAGTTTGATGTTTGATGCAGCTCTCCAGGTTGATTATCACCCGCGACAAGACGCACGTGCAAGGGGAGATCTTGGTGGATGATAAGCCTCAGGTCACTGGACGAAAGGCGGCCGTGTGGAAACACGTGCTCTTCAACCAATCCTACAACCAGGACGTGCAGGCCGGCACAGGTGGAGTATGGTGGAGTCAGATTGTCATGAACAACTCCACAGTCCATGTGACGGGATTTTTGTTGGCCGGTTCGGGGGAGAAAAAACGTAAGTACAGTATAGTACACTACAACATTTACCGAGGAAGACATGGCCGAAATGGATGTAGAATACTCTAAATTATGTTGTTTCGGCTGTCCCACGATGTTCCCAGACCAACGCCTGTAAAGGGTTATCCGTTTTGACAAGAGGGGCTGGGTCGTGGTGTGGCGGGCTTCTTCGGCGCTGCAGGGCAAAGTGAGGATGCATTCTTGGTCGCAATGGGCTGAGACCTTGCCAGGTGCACTCTAAAAATCCTTATAATCCTTCAATTACTCTAGCTGCAGAGTCGATGGTGCCTATCCCAACAAAATGATGCCTAGACCTTCACGTTCTACGCGGCTGTTCTTTTCAAGAAAAGCACGGTGTTTTCAGGTCGGAGTTGCGTCATGTACTCTGCAGCTAGTGTATCGTTTCTGATGTTATTCCAGCTGGAGAAGTGTTGGCCACTCCAAAAGGGAGTGCTGGCCACGGCAACTGTCCAAGATCAAGCTAGAAATAGATTCTTTCCCCGAGGCTGAGAAAATGAGTTGTAAGTGGTTGTTAGATTGCCGTAGCCGGTGAACACTTGCTAGCACTGGACAATACCGACTTGAGCGGCTCTTTCCTTGTGTGGAAGGCTGAGCCAAGGCTGAGACTTGAGCGGCTCATCACTCAGCGATTGTACAGAACCATTGCCTGGTACAGATTCAACGGCAATCCAATCCCCAACCACGCGGCACTCCCCTGGAACCGACGCTAACGCAACAGGCTGAAGGAAAACGCATGGCATTCGATACTGGTTTGGACGGCTCGTTTCACCCGGGGGTGTGCATCGCTTCACCGATTCGGCTGCAAGCTGGCCGCAAAGTGCCGAGGGGAGAGGCGTGAGGTGGTTCATGGTGCATCATGGTATAGCCCTAGTCGAGTATTCCATGCACAGCCACATGCACAGGTACTAGGCAATCAGTAACCAGCAACCACCCTGGTTTTGCTTCAAATTGTTGGATTCTCACGTCACATGTTGGTGCAGCTTGGCCTAGGACACCTCAGAGCTTCCTTTCAGATGATTTTCTCGCTCTTTGTCAGGATGAGCATCGGGGCCTTGGTAGTCATTGATGTCCACGCGAAGGCGGGGAGTGGTGACAGGCCAAGAGGGTTCATCACATGGGACGAAGAAGTGGAAGAAGGGATTCTTCAATAGATTTAAATATTTGAAAGCAATAGGGTAGGGAGAGATTCCCGGGCCCAGATTCGGTGGGGGGTTGCGGAGGTCTCTCAAATTCATGACCTCATGTTTCGCCACTCTTTCAGACGACCTGAAAGAAATGCACTTCTTCGATATCTCAACACTTTCTCCACATTCACTGCATGATGTCCAGTCAACAAAGAAACAGCCACATCGTTAACACTGCCTGGTGACCCGCATGTTCACGCCGTTCGAGCCGTTTGGTTCGCGCCATGCCCGCGTCGCCATGAGGATACTGTGGAGAAGTTGGCCAAGGAGAAGATCGACGATTGCATGTGGGGCCGCCTGCCGTTCAGCGGTACAGACCGTGCGAGGGTGGCCTGGATGATGTTCTCCACCATGTTTTGCTTGTTGGAATGTAGGGAAAGTTGAGTCAGTTCCCCTGAAAACAACCGATTTAGGGCCTGGAACTTGAACAGTTAGCTTGGAAGTGTCAGTTCGCATCCCGTCAGTTCGCATCGCCGTCCTTCTTCGAAGTGTCCACCACCATCCGGAAGTGCGAAAAATCCTCCGTCCGTCCGTCGACCATGCAGTCCTTGGGGTCATTACTGGGCCACCTGGACGGCCGGGCCGCAGTAAGTTCTTGCCTGGGGGGGAATGACATGCCTTGCAGTGCTATGGTTGGACGGCTGGCTACATGTGGAATTACATGTTCCAGATGGTTGGACGGCTGGCTTCTCAGTGCCCTGAGACCGACGGACTGAGACCAACGCCAAGGTGTGTTTCACCAACAGGAGATGCAGCTCAGTCCAGTCACCCATCCTCATGGGGCCCTATGACATAGGTTAATTCAAGCTGGTTCTAGGAATATTTAATATTTGTGGACCCATTTCTTATTGATTTGCATCCGAAATCCAGCCTCATCCTTATTCAAGCCTTACCTAGTTCTACTCAATGTCGCCATGGCAGGTCGTTTGAATGGATCTCTCAGCTTCGCTACTATTGGGAGATGGACGACCGCAACGCTGACACTTGGAGTGATCTAGGGTCCAAAAGGGACCAAACACAGAGGGTACATGCTCTAGACATCTCTAGACGATCTTGATCTTGCTTCGTGGAGGGTGAGGGTATTCAAACCGAAACCTCCAAGTTCACCTGTGGGAAAACCAGCCAGATCCTGCCAGATCCGCAAAATAGCTTTAAGCAGAGAAGATCAGGGCATGTACCACTGTTTCCACACTGACCCTAAGGTTCCAAGTTCACTGACTTCCTAAAGGCTTGCACTTTCATTTCAGGGCCCAAGATGACCCAACTTCCTCCAACTGCCTCATGAAAAAAGGTGTGTTCCAACCACCGTCCAACTGCGTCCCGACCGTCTCCGACCGTCTCCGACCGTCGTCCCGACCCGCGGAAGACCAAGGAGAACATGTGGGTCCCTGGGCTCGGTGGAGCGTCGGGTGGCGTTCGTGGGGGTCGGCCGACCGGTGTTTTTGTTGGTTGGGGGGCGTTCGTTGGGGGGACACCACACTAAAGACCAACAGGTGGAAAGATGCGGAAAGTTTGGTTTTAACAACATGTCAGTTGTCCATTTTGTTCCTCTGAGGAAGTCAAATTGCAACTTGATCTTTTCCTACATTGGGCTGGTTTCGGGGGTCAATGCCGGTATTGTATCAATTCCGTACATGTGGCATCAGGTTTCGCACTGCTTGCTTTTTTTTGGTGTGGGTCAACACTGTTTGACTATGTTTGACTCGTTTTTGCGCGGAAAGGCATAATTTTGTCGGAGCGAACGCATCGTGAGCCTAGCTTTGACGGTCTGGACCCAGCAGGGTGCTTTGGGCGCTTTGAGCATAGATGGACATGCTCAGCTGTAGGGCTTAGGGCGGTGAGCATACACTTCCTCCGCCCAAGGAGCAGCTTTCCACTGAAATGGCCATGGGGAGCTTTGAAAAAGGGGGAGCCTTTCAAAAGCTTTGTGCATCAAGAGTGGCTGATGTGAGGTGCGAATGGTGCAGACTCCGTTCCCCTATGGCCCTCCTGGCATGGCTTAATCTTGGGAAGAAGCGTGGCAGGCCAAAGGATGTGGCTACAGAAAGGCTGGCAAGCTTGCCATCAGGAATTGGACAGTCTTGGCTGAAACATGTGGAGCAATTCCTAAACATGCAATGCATGACATCAAATTATTGTTGTTCCACCTCCCATCATCCATGACATCAAAGCTGGCCTTCCTGCCGCACCTGCCGCCAGGCTACGAGTATTTGGGCAATTCCTTCCGTCTGGTGATCACACCCTTGACTGACATGCCCTGTGCTGAGATACCTGAGAAATCCTGAGAAAAACAAACACACAATGAAACAATAATATCAAATAATTACATTGACAAAAAGTCAACCCTCACATTTGAAAGGCTCAGCGTGCTAAAAATAGGGCATGCTCCCCCAACCTGGTGTGTTAGCAAGCTCCAAAGCATCCCAGCAAGCTGCTCCAAAGCATCTTTGCTGATCTCGAGGTGCTACATGACATTGATGGGTGCCCAAAGTGCGGATCGCCAAGCACCATCGGATGCGGTTCCGCGGAACCCGCGCGAAGCCCGCGGAACGGTCGAGTGGATGGCATGGATCTTGGATGGAGGATGGTACCCCGTTTTCCAGCTCTCGAAGTACTTTGCTTGAGGAAATGGCCACAAAAACATTTGAAGCATGCGCTTGGCAGTCGTCACCTCTCTTCAGCACTTCCAATAAAACTGACCGATACTAAAGCGATACTACAAGGGATACTACAAGGGACCAAGGTCGCTGTAGTCGCGCTCCGTCCCAGCGACACCCGAGGCCTCAACCTGGGCGGTGCGCCGGCGGGGCCCGCGGGGACCGGAAAAACGGAGACCACGAAGGACTTGGCCAAGGCACTGGCGAAGCAGCGCGGGGACCTGGAGCTGCGCGGAGCCGGAGGGGATGGGGGAAGTGGGGGAGGTGCAGGTGCGTGCAGGTGGGTGAAGAGGTGGAGAGAGGTTGATGAAACTGAGGAAGTGGATGATGGGAAGTGGAACATGAACAAACTTCTCATCAATCCATGAGTCACACCTGATTTGGGATTCACAATGTGGAGAGTCCTGTGCCCTGTCAGTACTTCAGCGGGGGAACACCTGCCGAGGGTTCTTTACACCAGACCTGACTGTTGCACACCACGCACCACGGCCATGCATCGCAATGCATCGCCATGCGCTCGCGACACACCTTGCTGGCAAGGTGTGTGGTGTTCAACTGCTCTCCGGAGATGGATTACCTCATGGTGCCTTGGATGTGGGTCTAGTCATATGTATATATTCTCCTAAGAGGCATTGCCTGGGACTGGGTCACTTGCTCACCAAACCTTTGAACAGACTCACTGAAAATCCATGAGTGTCTTTCAGGGATGTATGGTAGACCCTGTTAGCATTCCAAGATGACCCTGTTAGCATATGATGAATTGTATAACGTTAGCAGTACTGTTAGCTGAAAGTTGATCTTCAAAGACCTCTTTCGGAGTGGCCCAGTTCTTCTTGGCTCGCCCAGTACTCTGTTCGCATGTGACACAAATAGGTGTGGACATTGCGACAACTAACATCAAAATCATTCAACATCTCTGGAACTGCTCACTTTTAGCAGCCACCGACTTAAATGCCAGGACCTGCTTGGGTTGCTTGATGGACACCTGCCTTTTAGCAATAGTCGATAGTACTGTAATCATCATATTCTCGCGTATTCTGGTGCAACATTCTGTTGGAAATCCTGAATTTGATACCCTTCTTGGCTGGTTCCAAAAGGATGTTCAGAGAAGAGGCAAGGCTCTGCGTTGTTTTGCATATATACGGCGTATGTACGGAAGTGAGGCTGACACTTCCTCAGTGAGTGTGATACGGTTTTGATCCATCCGCCACTCAGGTGGGGAAGTTCTTCAAGGGTTTGGCCTCCAGTGGTGCTTGGTGTTGCTTCGATGAATTCAACCGCATTTACATCGAGGTGCTTGGGCGGATTTAGCCGATCGCGGAGGTTTGGATCCCATTCTATGGTGTATACAGTAGTTTCAGAGTAGATGGCACAAACCCTACATGTCTTTTACTTTAGATGGGGGTCCATATAAATCACCTTTTGGGGATTGTGCCATCTACTCTGAAACCACTGTAATAGGCTATAGGTAGATACTGGTAGGGTCTATTTTGCGCTTGTATGCGCTTGTGCATCTACAGAATCACCAGCAAGACCCTGCCCTCCCCATATCCGCTTGCCGCTTTTCCGGGCCACACCGGGCCACTCTGATTTCACCCACGTCGGTCGGCTTGGCGTCCTCCTGGTTAGGAGGTTCGGGTGCCCAGTTGGAGAGGGCCACAAGCAGCCTGAGAGCACTCCTTTGCAAAGATACCTTTACCAGTGCCGTCCTCACCCTTCTAAATTGTTCATTCCACACTTCCCCCCTGTCCTACTTCAAAGATGTCCCGTCGTTGTTCAGCGACGCCGCCGCGTCGCGGCGTCATTTTCGGCAGGTGTTGAGCGTCATTGCGCAGCAGCTGTTGCAGCTTTTCAGCGCCAAGCGAGAACTCACCAGCTACAACGTGCCTTGGGAGAAAGCAGTGGGTGGAGCATCTTCACACGGAAGTCCCCACCTTTTGTGGACAAAAACACAGGAGCACGAGACGCAAGTCCCCGATCAGGTGGACGGTGCGGTGTTTTTTTCGTCTTTCCAAATCGCTCAGGAGTCGGACTCTTCTTCACTCTTTGATTCCTCAAGAGAATTCGATTGATGTTCAACAGTATCACTTGTCACTTAAATGTAGATTAAATTGATTAATTAAAGGAAATCGAAACATATGAAGAGGTTTTTACACCCCATGTTTGGAGGGGGCGGTGTAGTTTTTCTTCTATATTCGATGTGTGGTCGACCCGTGGAGCTAAGGACACCGTGGAGCTGGAGTTTGACTCCACCTTGATCACCATGAAACCAACGTTTAACGTGCGGATCTGACGGAAACGGGATGCGCGGCGTGGTTTTGCCAACTCACCGGTTGACATGTTTGGCGATTGCTGGACGATCTTCATGACCAGCATGAAGCTTTGGAAGACTGGCCATACTTCGACCCTGCCGGGCTTTTTGTGTGTTCTCGGTTTTGTTGGAGTTTGCGCCAGGTCTTCATCACGATGAACCCCGGATATGCAGCTGAGTTGCAATTTCGGCCTCGGGAAAGGGGACAGAGGTCACTTTGGTGCTTTTGGTTGGATCCCGGTTTGGAGAGGTTAAACATGGTGGATCACCGATTGTTGGCTCTTCAGTGATCCATGCCAGGCATTCTCAGAATTCATGAAGTGATCATTACACTGTCCATTTGAGCATTTCAGACTCCAAAAAGGAGACCTTTGCCTGGTTTTGCATAAGGTGATTTTTTCAACTGATTATCCATATGGTTAAATCCCCTTCCGGGGAATATGCTTTAGAGCCGCAAATCGAAGTCATTAGACATTCGTTGACCAATCGATCCTGTTCCGGTCCCCTCCCAACACCCACGTCCCCGGTTCACCATGACGCGGCTCGGGCGCGCGCGAAGGCCGGCCGCAGCGAACTTCCGGACAACCTGGCCGCACTCTTCCGACCAATGGCCCTTCGGTGCAGAGGGGACGGACGGACGGACAGCCTAAGCATATAAGCCTAAGCGTGTGTATCGATAATAGGGAGAAGCCCCCCTAGAAGGAAACTAGACCCAAACCCATTGGGCAATTGGTTTCTCCCTTTATATACATCATGTGTTTGCTCGACGGAGCGGACTTCTTTTCGTTCTAAGAAGCAGGTGGGCCACCGGGTGGGCCTGGTGTTGTGTACATGACGTTTGGCGGTGGGAGTGTTGCACGATGCAACAAGCCTTTCAAAGAGCCTAGCGCTCATAGAGTCCTGTAGACGGCCTGGTGAGGGAAGATCCAATTTGACACCATTGATCTTGGACCATCTAAAGTCGACTGGGAAGAAACCCGTCATTATATATATGTCTCTCGGTTCACCCATTCTGCAACCACTGACCTTTGTTCAACAAACACCATCACCATCCACCATCCATCACCTGGAGTTCCATGATCCATCACCTGGAGTTCCATGATCCATCACCTGGAGTTCCATGATTTATGGTGCGTTTTCAGGACCATTTCCTCCATATTCCTCCATCCGCCTAGCTTCGTCTCCTCTCCGACCGACGGGACCCGGTGCGCGTGGACCGACCCGGACCCCGAGGCCATGATGGTGCCCGACTATGCGATGATCGGCCTGGACGCCCAACGGGGCGATGTCGGAAAGATCTCCACTCACTTGTCTAAATCTCTTTGTCACATTATATTTTAGCCCTAGACTTATGGCCACACACCCTTGGGGTGTTCATGAAGGCTGTGAATTTGGGTTGCACCTGGCGGAGTTTTCGTGGAGCGCGACCAGACGGCTCCTGGCAGAGCTCGGGACACTTTTTGTGGTCACACTCCAACCACGACGGACGAAAAGAGGAGAACACAGAAAGTGCTTGTTGACCTGAGTTTACCGTGCAACGCCTTTTACTTGGGATGCCTTATTTGTGTTGCTTCTTGACTTGGACAACTGTGTGTAAAGTCATTGACCGTTGGCATTGGCGGTTGCCTAGTTGCGCCTCCATGTTTGGTTCCCATCCTTTGGCCCAGCACGCACTGCGCCCTTGCTGGTGAGAAATGCTGCTCGAGATGAGGTGAAATCAGTTTCTATGCCTTCGGCTTTGAGAAGGGCCGGCACTTAGCCAAGAAGATGGCCAGCTCCTAAGTGCTTGGCCTGCGATACTACATAAACTTTGGCTCATGATGGCTCATGCAGAAAAGAGGTACCAAAAAGTTGTAGAAGGGAATGACCCTCAGTGCTGTTGAAGCACACTCCAGCTTTTGATCACTCCAGAGTCAGGAAATTTACCACCCCTAGGTGTTAGCACAGTAGTGTTATAGTGACATATAGTGACCCCTGGTTTTTCATTTGGGCTAGTAGGGATGTCAAGAAGTTTTGCTTTGCCCAGGTCACCACATTCCAGCTCTGTAGTGAACAGCTCTCTGCTCAGAGTCACTACGACTATGGCATGCGCGCGGTCGGGGCTCAGAGTCACTGCGACGGAAGACTGCAGTTTGGCCACCCTGACTTGTGACTATTCACTATTGGAATCACAGGAGATGACCTCGACTTGCAAGCAGGCCAGTCTTAGTAGTCGACTGTCCCTGAGCACAGTCAAGGAGAAATATCATGGCCCTAGCCACAAGGCAGTTTGCTATATATTGCTTGGGTGTCCGTATCAAAGACACGGCATTTCAATGCATGTCATTGTTGTTGGATTATGAAGCCAAACAGAGTCTTAAGAAAGTCCCCAAAGCCGTGCGAAAGACAACCTGTAAATTATTTGAACAATTGAACCCTGAAGTTTCACCTTTTTCATAAACATGTTCCAAGCTGAAATAGCGCAAAAGGATGCAAACGGTTTGTTTGGGATTCTCTTCCACTCTCTTCCACTCTCTTCCACTCCCAGCTTCACAAAAAAGCACACATCACCTGAACATGACCTCAAAGACCGGATTCACCGGGTCGCTCAGAAGTCGGGACCCACGGGTGGGGGCGGTTTGGGCGGTTTCGAGGTGAAGACCGTGATCGAAGCGGTAGGGCTCAACAAGCGGAAGTATCCGGAACCCGGGCGGTTTTGGGGCGGTACCGCCCCACTGCGGAGTGGGGGAGTGGGGGAGTGGGTTGCAAAGAGGGAAGTGCACAAAAAGATGGGCATTGATCATATGATCAAGTGAATGCAGTAACTATATATAAGGGTTTTTTGTTGATAGATGGGAGTGAGGTAGGGGTTGCTGTTCAGGTGTTGTTTTGGAATTCAGGGGTGCGATTTGATGCAATCTCCCTGGAACACATTCCTAAGCACTGATACACACCATGAACATACATGAGCCACCCATGGCGAGTGATTTGTGGGGGTGGTTCGTTCAACAGTTGAGGATCCTCCAGTCCACCATGTAGCGAGTTCTTTCTTCAAAGATCTTCCAGGTAGGTCAACCCAGGTCTTTTGGGTGCTGACCCGCAACCACTTTTCTGGCCCGGACTGTGCTCCAGTCCGGGACGAAGACTTGCTCGCAGACCTGCTCGCTTCCGCGGGAGCTCCTGCGACGCGAGGATCAGAGCGAAGCACAGATCCTGCTACGAGCCTTGCAAGATGTGAACGCCCGGGCGCCTGAGGGCGGCAAGACCTGCGCCTTCATGGGTTTTCTTTGCCTCATTCCTGAAGGTCCAAGACCTTGGCTGTTTGGGGTGCGATATGTTTTCTAAAGACTTTCTCATCCATCCAAACAGCCAAATTGGGCTATGACATGTATATGTTCTAATCCTTTCATCGTATCCATTTTTCTGAACTGCGATGAACTTGACTTGTCATGGTTAGTGTCAGATGTTCTGAGGAAGAGGTTTGTCGCATGTTGCAGAAGTTCACATATGCAGACAGGTCTACACCCCCAAGACACCGCTAGAAGCCCTCACAACATACTGCCACGAAGCCCGATTTCTGCCACGGCGCACGTGAAATCGACCGGAAAGTGCTGGATGTTTCTGCAATCCAGACAGACACAACTGACAGGGCCCAGGGCTTCAAAGTCACATTGTTGGCTCAAGTATGTTAATAGTAGTTATGTTAGTATAATAACCACTGTCACGTCGGTAGTCCTTCAATGATCCCATATGACTATATAATGGGTGCGGAGATCGCTGGGTGTGGCGTTCCACTTGTTTCGAAGCTGGTGGGACCGACCGTTTGCCGCACTCCACTTATAGTTACGCAGATAGTTGGCACCAAATGGCACCGTCGAACGGTGGGGCCCAAGGTGCCCAAGTTCTTGAAGGATGACTTGCCACTCTTCTACAACATCATCTCAGATCTCTTCCCAGGAGTTGAGAAGCAGGGAACCTCAGCGGTTCGTTTCGGAGGCCATCCTTGGAGGGCTGAAGGCCCCAACTTACATGAGCACATGAATTCCATTAAAGTCAGCTATTGACGGGTGAAAGGTGTTGATTGTAGGATTCATTGCCGTTCCAGCTCCTTGTCAAAAGAAGGTGGCTGTGTCAGTTTTTGTTTTGAGTTTCTTCGACTGGGGCAGTGGCTACCATGGAGGCAACTGGGCTGGTTTTTGGGGAGGGTATCACGATAGTCAACCCAATGCACAACCACCTTCACCAGGCAAGGCGGGCGTGATTGGGTTTGCTGAATGCATGCCATATCTCATAACAGTCATCGGATCGAACTATCAGAAGTTGTAGTAGAGCTAAGATCATCATGCATTAAAAGGAATCTCGTAGTGGGCAGAGCTCAGATATGGGGTAAAGGCGATTCGCGTTTGCCACGAGGCCTGCTATTGACTACGGAAAGCTGGATGAGATGGCTCAAGAGAAGTCGAAATCCTTCAACTTGCAACCTGGCAGAGTAAAATGCAAAAGGACCACCTTCTAGCAGAAGGTGTGGAAGTGGGTGTTCTTGCTTTGCTTCTTGCGTTGTTTTGGGTGAACGTGGGGTAATAGGGGGAGGCAAGAGGTTTGGATATGTTTTGCTGTTTTGTTGTGCGCCAAGATTGGTTGGGAAGGTTTTGTGAGGCCAAAAGTGTGACAGGAGTTGTTTTTTGTTTTGACAAAGCCCTATGGATTTGTCATTTTGGTGTGAGCTGAGGCAACCTACGGATTACTTCATCAAGAAACAGTTTGAGCTCTTTGATATGATCCAGGTCTTTGGATTTGTCCTGCGCGGGGATGGCGTCCGGAATTTGTCCTGTGATGTTGTTTTTTCCACGCAAGATGCACGCTGGGTGGGACAATATGCGACGGATTCTTCAACAAGAATTCATGCATTTTGTATAGACACGGGTGAACACAATCTCTCTCTCATTAGTGTCTTTAGATCTCTTTAGTCTCTCGAGCAGACATGCAGGTGGGAGCCATCTGCAGAGGGTTCCTGAAACCTGCCATTGGCAAACTTGCGTCAAAGTCACAAGGATTCTCCAAGGGTGAGCCGCTTCAAAAACCATTTCTGACCGTCCCTACTCGGCGTGGTTAGAACACTTGGGTTTCAACAGCCGGTTGGGGCCTCGCAGATTTTATAGGATGGTTTGACGAGGGACATTCCCCCCATCTACACCATAGTACCATGATATCTATCCCTTTCTTTGGTTGTATCGTATATATCGGTATATTGTTATGAGTATGTGTGTAAGGCCATTTTGGAAGTCTAGACATCTCAGGAAACCAACCTGGTTCACGTCTTCTCTTTGGCCTCGCTGTCAGGTGCGCCATGGCATGATGCTGGTGGGACCCACCGGTGGTGGCAAGACCTGCTGCTACCGGACCTTGCAGGCGTCCGGGGACCGGACCGAGACAAACGCCCAAACACGCGACCCTAGGCCCTATGCCTTCGGGTGGTGCCAGGGGGGTCTGTCTGGGGCGGCATATCTGGCAGTCCCATTAGCCGTGTCTAGGACTGCCATATGTATATTCCAGTCCCATTAGTCGTGTATGGGATCTACTTCAAGTCCCATCGAGTGTCATCGACTTGAAAGGGATTGGTCATGGACTCCAACTGAAGGGTTCTTAGGAACAGGTCGAGATTTTATGGGGGTTGGATTCAGGTCCGTTCCAAAAGGTTGGCTGACATGCCAAGCACTTCCTTTGGAAGGGGATTTCCAGAGCAGTCTCAGTTCTATTCCAGACCTTGCAACAAAGATGAGCAGGATCTACGCACGGCAAACGTGGGGTTTGGAAGAAAGTGATTCGCTTACGGTATATGTTGCTTAGCCGCTTGAGGATTCATTGCATCGACAACAAAATGTTTCTTCATGACTGGTATGGATCTGGAGTTGGAGGATTGCCTTGCAGAGACTTGGGGGTCACATTGTGGTGTCCGTTTTCGTCGCCACATCCCGGCGACGTCCGCGACATATGCTGAGTGTGCAGACGTGTCAGGCTGCTTGCACGGCCCTGGTGGAACCAAAGGCCGGGATGCCGATTCTCCAAGAGAGGTCAGAGCGCGTTAAGGGGCGGCAGAGCTTTCATGACTAGCTTCCAGGGTGAATCCAGCCACAGGTGCCAGTGTTTATTCAACTTTATGCATATATCATATCATCAAACACATATTATATTACTGTATATTTGTGAGTTTTGCCCGGGGCTTCTTACTGACATATGATGTGGAGCCAGTCTAACCGATCTCCAAATCTCGATCCTCAGGACACGGAGTCGCCGTTCCAGAGGACTCACGTGCACGTGTTGAACCCCAAGGTGGGAAGAACGGAGAGCGATTCGACGCCGTTCGGAACGAACGCCTCGACGTTCGGAGAGCGATCGACGGGCAGACGAAGAGAGGAAGGGTCAGGACGTGTCCTCCGCTCGCGAGAGCAGGCAGCGCGGGGCGGTGCGGACGGAGAAGCTTTGTCAAGAATGTTTTATAATATACCATTGAGCAGGAGTAGCTTCACCATGGCATAAACGACAGGCATTCAGAGATGTGGGGTGGGCAGAACTGAGCACCATTTGCATGTTCAAGACCTTGAGCAGATTTGTTGGATGAGAGAATGATCCCTCACCGGTCACCCCAAACGAAACAATGGTACCCCATTTGCAGACCCAGGAACTAAGTAGACGTTGATACCGCTCTCAAGATCTCTCAAGAAGAGTGACTTTGATGAAATGCCTTTTGGTTTCTGACACGGATCTAACCAATATGGATTCATGATAGGTCAATACCAAAGCAAACCTTGTGGAAGCTGGGAAGATGTTGTTTCTTTGGGTTTTCCTGTCCCTATGGATCCACATACCTTGTCAGAAGGTATTTGGGGCACTCCAAGCGTACATTCGTACATAACAGGGTCTCCAATCACCTTCTCAGAAGGTATGTGGATCCATAGGGTTTGGATAGGCAATTGATAAGCAGCCGGCGGTCGTCGATCATACCGTTGTTGTCCAGGCCATCACCCAGAATCAGCTCTATGGCGCGTTCGATGAGGTGCACGGTGGTCCGTGGTGACGGATGGCAAGTCGTGATGAGAACAGAACAAGACCTCAAAGAACTCCCAACAGGGCTTGGTTGCCGTTGGGCGTCTCTGTGAGACGACTCCGGGACGAGTCATGCCCGCCAGAGACAGAGAGAGAGAGAGAGAGAGTCAGAGAGAGAGAGAGAAGAAGCCCTAAGCTGGCTACATCAAGTGCATGCAGTGCATGCCCCTATATGCCCCTAAAGATTGAAACCACTGGGCACCACAATGCACCACATATTTGTGCCCAAAGTCGTGTTCCTACAGGGTGAAGCTCGCTCGAACCAGAGCACACTTTGCCACTCACCAGCCCAGCAAAGTCGAACTGGAACTGCTTGCTGCAAAGACTGCTGCAAAGAGCCGTCTCTTTCGCTTGGGATGTTGGTTTTGTGATAGATGGCTACTATGGCATATGGGACCCCCATGATGGCTCTGAGGAACCGCAGTTCCTTTCCCGAAGTGAGTCCACCACAGGCCACAGGTCAGCAAGACAGGTCGACCACCACCGTTTTGGGCCCTTTTTTGGGGTGTTCGGGCCCAAAGTGAGAGACACAAATGAAGGATAAATGAAAGAATTTCAACTTTTTTTCGGATATACATTGGGTTTGTCCTATTACTTGTAACGTCAGTAAGAAATTGTCACTATTTTTGGACAAGGCCTACAACAACCTAACCGTCATCATCCCAAATTCCATCTCTCCCAACGCGTGTCTGACGTTCGAACTGGGACAGCGCAGGTGACGCGCGAGTGGTCGGACGGGGTGGCAGCGGAGTTGATCCGGAATGCCACACGTGACAACCACAACCCCGTGCCTTGGGCCGTTGTTTCCTTTTTTTCCAGGGCGAATTCCCAAGAGCAGCTGAAAGAAAGAAGCCAAAAAGTTGAGCAGAATCGCCACGCCCCCCGACATTGAAAGGGTCGTCCAATCCCCCCCCCCCAAAAAAAAAGCGGAAAAGACGCTCTCAGGGGCTCAAGTCCGGATTTGGAGCACTCACTCTTCAACATGGATTACGAAGAATTCAATGCCTTCCCAAAGCTGAAAACCGCCAGAGTGAGAGCAAGTCGGACTTCCTGTGTGGTCTCTCAGGTGGTGGAAAAGGGAACTGGGCATTTTTGATCATTGTTCAAGAGGGTTCAACAACACACCGGCGGTGGCAAATGGACTGAACCTGTGGGATGTTACGGCACTCTCATTCATTTTGAACTGCTCGGATTCTAGAACCCCTGGACACTGAGGATCATCACTGGGTGATGTTCGATGGTCCGGTGGATGCTTTATGGATCGAAAGCAGCTTGGATGAGAGATGTTGAGTGAGGAAGGCTGCCTAGGGATGAGAGTGATCCTAGCCGGTGGGAGGAAGGGAGCGGTCGCTGGGGTATCCTTAGGTAGCCCAGTCAAGAGGGAGAAGTGAACTCCTGGTCACTCCAGAGGAGGAACTCCCCACGGGAGGAACTCGGTCCAAGGGACGTGGTTCATTCGGACGTCCGGCCATGGACGTTGTTTTCCTTGTGGTTCCCTCATCATCTCGCTTGCTTTGTCAGATGCTCCACCCCACACGGGTGCCTTTTTGTGCCCGAGTTTTCATGGCAGTGATTCTAGTAGTGCAACACTCCTTACATTTGAAGAGCAGTCGCTCTCTCATATGCGAAGACCATCTGACAGAGCACCTGCTCATTTGCCCCCAGACTTGTAAGCAGAATAGGGTTGTGGTAGTGCTTGTGGTCATGGCGAATTTGCACTCTTTGGCTTGTGATCAGGGTGGAAGCAGTGGCAAGTGCCATACATTCAACCTAAACAAGCGGAGCTGGTTGAGGTATGAACACGGTGCTGGATGACAACAAGAAGCTTTGCCTGGTGAGTGGCGAAATCATCGCTTGGGCCTCAGTGTTCCAATCGATTCAAAACGAACAACGTTAAAGGTGCTGGGGTTGGAGTAGTTGGAGGTTGCTATAGCTGACATCTAGAATGATTTGGTGTTACTGGGATCCTAGTTCAGATCGGCCAGACCAAATGCCTGGCAGCTCAAAGCCAGTTGTTTGGAAGGTGCCTAGAAATATTGGATGGTGATGACTCAGTGGTGACCTGGTTTTTCATGACCATGACCATGTTTAAACTGGGATTGTCCTAGCACAAACCAGCCGCACTGCCCAGCCTGGGCTCGCTGGAGGCCTTGACAGCGAAGATGCGGATGCAGTTTGAGGTGGAAGATTTGGAAGTGGCATCGTTCCTGGGCGGCCCTGGGCGGAAGTGTTCGCGTGCTCAAAGGGTACAACGAGACGGTCGATGTCAGGAGTATACACCCTGATGGCGACGATCCCGACCCTGAAAACCACGTCGGTTGGTAGAGGAAAACACTCTTCCAGGGGGCCATTGTCAGGGTCTATGTCAGTTTTCGGGAGTGTACCCTTTTTACTCACCAATGTGGAAGGGGGAGAAGACCCCCTGCGAAAGCCGAGGAAAATGATCTTGCCGGTGGCCATTGTCCACTTCCATGTTAGTGAGTGGGAGTGTAACATTGGAGAAAATCCGACTGCCTTTGGCTCTCTAGATCACCCGGGTGTTTTGGGTCACCCAGTTTGGTGAGAGGAAGCCTTTATTGGATTTCCACTCAGGGGTTCTGCAAGTTTGGCTGTTGTTTGGGCCTCAAGACGAGGCAAATGGATCAGGTTCGGCGCCCTCCCTTTGACGTTTCCCTAGAAGTGCAGTTCGACTATATTCTAACCGACTGAAGTAAAGGAATTTCCGTGTTGGTTGACCTCAAGACCATTCTTTTTTAGTCTTTGACTCCCAACCTGACGTGTTCAAAAAGCCTTTGTCTCCATGAGGCCGGCCACTGTCTCCCGCTGTGGCATGATCTACATGGAGCCTGAGAGCAACTTAGCTGTGCCATCGAGCTTGTTACTGTAACGTAAACAAACGGTTGAAAAAGCTGAACTGCAAGTAAAACTGATTGATACAGGTGTGATAGGTACACTTCCGGACGCCAACATGTTGGACCCATTGGATCCAGCACGGTCAAGTAAATTGATGTTCAAATGGTTTGGGACAGGTGGAGGGAGTTGAGTTTGTACGTGAATCTGAATATGTTACACCTGAAAACTCACAGTCCCTGGTTTTCAGATGTTTTCAGGGTCCATGTGAGTTTTCGATGGGGTATTGCCTTATCAGCCTATGTCGCCTTATCAGCCTATGTCCCCCTATTTCCACCTGCCCTTTGCATTGCCAAGATTTGCTAAGCATATTTCTCTACTTGCTCATGTTCAACCGCTGGAAGACTTGTGGAAGACGGGGGGGAATTTTGCAGTGTCTTGCAATTGAAGTCATGCCCATTTAGCATGATGTCACCCAAACACTCCATGTATGCCATATATGCTGGCTTGGGGGGCCTTGGTGGGGCGGCATATATATGGCAGTCCCAGACAGGTCGTGTTTGGGCTTGCCCATTTAGAAGCAGAACCTCGGACCGTCCGCCAGCGGTGAGGTCGTGGCCGGACCGATCCTATCGGGCCTCCTCAGAGTCGGTTCCTGGCGCCTGGCGCCGGACGGCAACCCCCCAGCAATCGGTGGTTCCAGGCTTCGTCCACCATGGCCAAGGCACCAAGTGCACCAGTACGCAGTAAGCATCCCAAATGGCAACTCGTCCGCTGCATGTCCAGGTCTTGGCTATCAGCCCTTCTTCGACTCCTGGCTGCAGGCGGGACTCCACCTACTGAGTATGTCAATTTTCAATTACAATTCTCCAAATGGCTGGGTAATCTTTTTAGCATGCATCGTGATGGGGATCGATCATTGCAATTCTTGATCTTCAACGAGAAATTCCCAGTACGCGCGAGTCATCAGCTGTGTACCCACCGGTCACGTCACCTCCTAGACCGGTCATCACGACACCGGTCCCGACTGTCCGAGGGTCCGACGCGTACACCTGGGTTCCAAGGCCCACATGGAACCTGAAGACATGGACCTTCAGCCTTCAGTAGACGACGATGTTCCTCTATGACCCGACGTGGTTTTCGGGTTCCATGTGGGTCTCTTCCAGGGCGCCCATCCGGAAGCGTCCAATGCAGATGTCTTTTGTTGTTGAGAGGTCCATGGTCGCGAGTTCGTTTCGTCTCGTTCGCTCGGCGCGCCAGACCTTGCCAGAGACTTTCTCCTTCAAGCCAGTTTTGGTTTGGGAACCTGAGGGGTGGGCGGAGCGCAGAAGTGCCGGTCGAAAAACACCAAGACGAACTCGGATGGTAATGGGTGCATGCATGGACATTACTTGGTGTGCTTGACACAGAACACCGCAGCAAACCAGACGAAAACTGCCAAGAATACCCTTAATTGGGCCCGACATTTCGGTCATGTTCAGAGTTTCTCTTGTGATCTTGGCACCCTGGAATTGACAGGATTCGCAGGTGTTTGGTGGCTGGCCCATGGTCAGAAGGGCCTATAGAAGTTGCACAACATTTACATGGAGCATTGTGCCATCAGGCCCTACGGATCCGCGAAACCGACTTCAGGAAGACACCTTGCGGAAGCTCTTGACGGATTGTGTGGCGCCTTCGATCTCCTATGCTGGCGACCAAGTTTAACCTTGCTTGGCTTAAATCCGAGGACCGAGCCTAAGATGGTCAATTGAAACTCTGTAGCTGTAGGTGTTCACCCACTGGATTCTTTGTCTTGGAAAACAGTGACGTTCGTGAAGCTACACTGTGGTTGCTGCGGTTGCTCAAAGCCAGTCGACCAGGTCGCGTTAGGGCCATGACCACGTGACATCATGAACACAGCACCACTTGGAAAAGCATTTCAGCCGGAAGACTTACAAACTATATGAGAAATGCAAGCTCACAGTGAATGGTGGCTATCTACTGGATACTAGTTACATCATATGTTACATGTATATAACTAAAACATATATATATATATAGAGAGATCAGATCTATAACTTACATACTGTATATATATACTTATATATCTACTAATTACTACTATATGTAATGTTTTCTTATAGACTGTATAGCCCATGTTATGTTTTTCATAACCCCCTTTTCATGGGCGGCCCTTCACTGGGGTCGCAGGCAGGCAGAACGCCACTCCTGGGACCTTCAGACACCCGACCCCCGTGCAGACCGACCGGACCGCGCCCCGACCGCCATGGCGAGCACGGCGCAAAGGACATGGGAGCTGGAGAACCAGGTGGGTCGGGACCACCCCAGACGATCAGACCCAGAACTCGAGGTTGTGGAGGTCGTGGTTGAGGGAATCCTGGAAAAAACCCTGGAACTCTCGTTGGGTCCGAGGACCAACCCAGGGGTTGGAGGGGGTCCTGGTTCATTTGCGGGGGATGTATGACTCATCATCCATAGTGGAATTTGTCCATGAGAGTGTCCCTTTGGCACAGCTGGGGGGACAGCCAAGCTGCAGAGAGAGGGAGAGGAGAGGTGGAATGATTCTTGGGCTCCTTCCCTTCATCGCTCTCTCAGTTGAATCCCAGAGTCGAGTCTCGAGGAAATCTCTGAGGATTCTTCAAAACACTGCTAGATGAATAATCCTGAGCATGACTGTCCTATCTTTGATCGTTGAGCCATGGTCGTAGGGCTGAATTCTCCATTCTGGACCTGGGAGTGGCTGGTGTCCAGTGGGAAGCTTGACCCTTCTGTTTCGTTATCTCTCGTCAAGTGAACCCCCGCTTCCCCTCAACGTCTTTCCAGTCCTGACAGGTAGTTCAAGTGGATGATGCTCAGATCTACGCCTTCGATCAGTCTGAACAAGACGCCATCTTTGAGAAGAAGCCTTGGAAGGACCCGCATTTGTGTGGGTAGTTGTACAGGGCTCACATGCCCAACCAGAAGATTCCCAGACTGGTCATGCCTAGCTGCACCGCTTTCCTGCCCGCCTAGCGCCGCTTTTTCGGTGTGACGTGGCCGGAATCGGGGCTCGTTCGGAACCACTCGAGCGACTCCAGCGATCCACAGGAGGACGTGAACTTCTTCAAGTCTGTGCGCATGTCCGCGGTACCTGGGCAGCAGACGGCAAGCGGCCGGCGCAAGCTCCGGCCTACAAAGGGGAGGGACATGGAGTATGGAGTATGTTGGAGAAGGGGAGGGGTCAATGTTGTCAGCTGGCATGGAGGAGTGAATTTGGGTCAAATACTGTGTGACTATGCAATAAGCCCCAATAATAAGACTATAGTTCAAGGTTTCTCGCTGAAACCAATTTGTTTGTACACCACTGCGTGCCCATTGGATCCGATGGGATGTTCATTTTCGTGTGACCTGCGGATCTTGGACCCGAACACAGTGAACATCAAATAGATCTCATATGCCAGGACCAACACCAAGAGGTGTCTATAATACTATACATACCCTCTTAGCGGTGAGTCGAGGTGTCCAAAAACCACCGGACGAACCGGAAGGTCCTGGTACTCAGTATTCAATGAACCTCTCAGGCAGGCATGATCAGCATATTATAACCTGATACACCCCGGTTCCGAGACCCAGATTGGAACCTGTTGGCATGGACCTTCGGAAGACTACTGAGTGACTACTGTTTCTTCCTATCCAACCCTGTGGTTTTGGGGTTCCATGTTCATTTGCAGGGGGTAAGGTCACCCATGGTGATTTCCATGCATGAATTGATCTCCACGTGTTTGATCATAAAATTCCCAGGTGGCCATGATCAAGATCGTGATGCACGCCAAGTCTGGCGCACCTCTAGAAGTCATGGGCCTCATGCAGGGCAAGGTCACCGCAGATCGTCTCTTGCTCGGCGCAGAAGGGCGGAATGGTGAGGTGGACGGGATTTCTGATTGATTGAATATGATTGAGTACTGTATTTGGTTTGCTTGTGAGCTTGCCGACGACATGTGTCGAAAACTATGGAACTTTCAGTACCTATACTGCAGACTCTGTTGGTTGAAGTGAGGTTCCTTTGACAAGACAGGTTTCTGGGGTCCTTTGCTGGCAGATGGGCCATGGGTGTGATGAGCCTTTAGTGACTTTAATGCTTTAGCGGCACCTCCTCGTCATCGCGGGTCTTTGTTCACAATTGGAAGAAAAACAGGAGCCTGACTTTGTCGTACCGGAGGTGAGATTGCATTGAAGCAAAGAATGCGGTGGAGCACCGAATATCCTTCAGGTTTCGCCTTTTAAGCACCTACAAGCAGGGTGCCTTAATCATACCCGGACACGACTAGTGGGACTGCCATATATGCCGCCCCAGACAGACCCCTTTGGCACCACCCCAACTGATTGGTAAATATGACAGTCCCATGGAGTGTCTGGGATATGTTCACTCATTTGTCCTCAAACTGATCACCTGCTTTGGTCGTGGGGCTTCCACTGGGCGGCTCCCAGCTTGGCAGACCTCCAGCTGGTTTGTGCCTTGGATTTGAGGGGCTGAAGCATGTTCTACCAGATCCTTGTCTATCTTCCATCCACTCATTTGCACGGCTCCAAACTGGTTCGATTCTTCCTGTCCATCCGGGCACACTGCCATGGGACGGGACAGCATCAATCAGTAGTTCTACGTAGTTCTCGATTCGTCACTACTATGTCGAGCCATGCCCTACTTCATCATCCTCACCCATGTCATCCAAGGCGAGTTTATCATCATGGACGCTTTCCCTTTGCCAGTAGAGGGCACTGAGACACGCGTGAATGCCGGTGCGGGCGCCAATGAGCCCTTTGGATGCAGCTAGTGTTGATATTACACGGACCGGCGGGCGTAGTGTTGTTGAACGACACAAGCCTTTCCGCAAGCAGTCCATGCAGCTGTTTTTCAATTGTTTGTTTTTTGATTTTACGTTGGTCCTCCAGTGAGTTTGGATAGTAAAACTATGTCAACCTGGGTTTTCAGGTGTGGCTTTGCCAAACACAAGCCAGCGCAAAGCAAGCCATTAAGGGCTAGACAGATCAACTGGCTGGGGCAGCCGTCCAAGGCTGCCCAGATGGTTTGGACATGTTTCAGACTCATCACAGCACGGACCCAGGGCCCCAACGAAGATACGGCAGCCTTGGGGCATCCCAGTACTTGGGAGGTCCGCCAGGACTTGAACGGTCCAACAGTATGAAGGTTCAGAACCTGGATCAATCACATCGGTGTGGGGCTTCTTGGTCACCTGCGAATCTGAGGTTTATGGTGACCTATACCGAGACCAGTGAGCGCATTGGCAAGGCAAGTTGTGATGAGGAAGCAAAAGGGCTGCATGCAAAGCTCGTTGCGTTGTTGAAGGTTTATGGTACGGGTAATGATTATGGGGACTCTTGCAATAGAAAACCTCCTATGAAGAGGTCTTTACGATCCAAACGTGCCTGGGGATGGTGTAGTAGCGATCAGGACTCGCAAGGGTTTGACGATCCAAATGTGCCTTTTTCTTAATGAATAAAGATTCGACATCATCATGGATCCATCGAACTCTTTGGGCTTGATTCCAAGAACACCGCCCATGTGAGCGCCTTCCTTTTGAGCTTTAGCTGAGCGTCTTGAGCGTTCGATCGGGCGGTGTCCCCGGCGGTGTCGAGCTTCCCTTTGGCTCCAACAACAGGTGGAGAACATATGTGGATGGTACCATTCCCATCCAGGCTATGGATGCTGGCTGAGCCTTTTCCGCAATCCGAAGGACGAGGAACTGGCGCATTTGTGCGCGTGAGTTGCTTTTTGGATTGGTGTGATTGATGGTGTTTGATCAAATTTGTTAGTAGTCCTGTCAGCAAGACTGTGAGGACATAGCAGCAGGCGCTGAATCCATATATGGGATCCTGTGAAACATTGATTTTGGGATTGACGTGAATCGTGCCTACAAATTCCGATGCCTGCTGCCCACTGCATGAAGGAACCAAACGAATCTGAAAGGAGGCGAAGTTGGCCTCGACTCGGGGAAACACAGTTTTTGCGGTCCTTTAGCAAAAACGGTCAGACATCCGCAAGCCTTTGATGTTTTATTCCCTTCAACCAATTCATTGAATGGGTTACATGGCAAATTTGCAGGACACCACCATGGTTTTCACCATGAACACTGGTTTCTTGCAGCTTTTCCCTTCCAATTGAACACGATGGGATGCAGAAGGGATACCTCTCCGGACAAGTCCGGTCGTCCCCGGTGTTCGGCTCGTGCTGAGGAGTGGGATCGATGTACAAACACAGATGACCTACCAACAGCGACTCGCATGGGTTCGACCTACCAACAGCGACCGGACAGACCTGTCTCAGACACGACCTGTCTGCGCCTGTCATATTTGCCGGTCAGTTGGGATGGTGGGTTTGAGGGGTCTGTCTGGGGCGGCAGTCCTATGACAGTCCCATGGAATCCCATGGAGTGCTGTCCGGATGGACTCGATGGTCGACTGGACTTCAGTCCAGACCCACCTCCATGCTTGGACTTGAATGGACTTCCCCGCTTTCGTGCGTTTAGAGGTGTTCTCGAAATGCACATGGCACCCGCGTTGGAATCGTTAGAGGAAGCCTGGAATGTTTCCCCATGTTTGGGTCGGTGTGATGGACAGTTCTGGGCAGTGCTGGTGGAGTCGGATCAACCTCCATTTGGGTCACAACTCTGAACCCCCGCCATGTCCAACGATACGGCGGCTTCGCAAGCACGCGCACAATTTTGCGGCCCTTCCCTGACTCAGGGCTACCAAGGAGGTGTTTGTGAGTATGACGTTCCAAATGGGCCTTCCTTGACTACCTGGCGCTACCAGGGATGTGAAAAAGATTGAACAAGTGATCCCTTTGAGTCTTGAGGATGTTCTGTTTTTGACCCTCCACCCATGCTCCTGCCCATCTACAGGTGGCCCCTGTAGTGGTTGGATTTGAACCCCCGATGTGTTCGATACCCTTTGGATACCCTTTGGTTCAAATCATTCTTTTTGGGGTCAACTCCTACACATCAACCACTATACTGCACTTGTGATTTGAGCCGAGAGTCTTGAGGGGAGTGTTCCATTCTCCCCCTGAAGATCATGGAAGTGGCAAACCACCAAGCTCGGTTTTGGTCTTCTGATTTCATGGTCATCCGAGCTCGGAACCATGGGACCCATCATGGACCCATCACCCATGCGACCCATCCACGTAATACCATGATGATTTCAGGAAGTAGATGTTCCACCATGTTCCACCCATTCGTAGATTGTAGAGGGCCCAAAATAGCATTGCTCCTGTTTTCGACCACCATCTCTATGACAGAAAAGCAACGGCAGAGACCACCTCTCTCCCCCCCCAAGGCATCAAGAGCCCTTCCTGGCCGTGGTAGTGGACCCGGTGAGGACCTGCGCCTCCGGGAAGGCGCGGAAAAATCACCCAAGCGATCCATGCGCCAAACGTGGCATCCGACGTGCTACACAGCACTGAGGTGTTCCAAATCTGTTTTGACCACATGCTTCAACAGATTCAAACAGATTCAAGATAAACAGATTCAACCAATGAGGTGTCCCAAATCTGAGGTGTTGCTATATATTAACATGCTTTCAAACAGATGCAACATAAACGAGCAATCCATCGTGATCCATCATCTCGCCCCTCAGCCGCCATTCCACTCAATTGGGGTGCAGGGAAACGAGCTACAAACCAGAAGAAAAACACCAAAGACTGAGACCCGTGAAAAAACATAGGAAAAATAGGACAACGCCCCCGCGGAGCGTTGGGTCTTTTCCTTTCGGTCATTGTGTCCCCCCGCGTCGATCCGGAGCGTCGGCCCCCCCCAGATGGACCTACCGATGTTTACCCTCTTCGGCTTCCGCTTCCGCAGAGGTGGACATCGGTGCTTTTCGGACCTACCCGGCGGGGCATCAGCCACAAGAGGACGGGCCCAATGAGTACCAACCCATCCCCTTAGAGACCGAGCTATGTGATGGGGGTCCGGTGGATGGGGTCTGTGGATTTTCCATTTCATGTCCGGAATGTTGTAGATGCCTCTGGTTTGTTGCGTCAGGTCTTGGAAATCCATGAAATCCATGTTCCAAAGTATGACCCAACATCTGGAGAATCATCATTTTCCAAACGTGAAATAGTGGGCTCCGCAAAGAACACTGGACTATAGGGAGCCCAGAGTTGCAGTAGATTTATTTGGGTTTGCCTGAGCCTCGGACGGAGTTGCGCAATCTCAATCTCAATTCTGAATTGCAGGTCTTGTCTCCATCCATGGTGAAGCATCTTGTGTATCTCAATGATTTGTAGACCATCTCAACCTGAAGTCCCACCTGCACCTCGCATGGTAATTTGACTTGACAACACCAGGTTAAACACCATGGTGCAGGTTCGTGAAGGTCTAGGGCCCCGCAACACCCGCCACTTGTTGGGACCTTTTTTGGACCAACACACGTTTTCATTTTTTGCGTCAAGATGTGACGACGGTTCCTTTCTTCATTTCAGGGTGGTGGTGCTTTCTGATGTGTTTTGCGTGTACTTGGAGGCTTTCTACGAATGATTTCCACTTTCTACGGTGGTTTGGCTTGGTAAATCCGCATTCTCGAACCAGACGGCCAGACGGCCATGGAGTGGAGATGGGGAGTCCTTTTGGCGACCCGTCAGGAACGAAGCTAAGAACCGAACCCGAAACCAGCTACTTTTAGGCCATTCTTTGAGTAATCCAGAGCACGAAAGAAGAACCTTGACAACTCGAATGGTCATTTCTGATGTTTCTTGATTCGTTCCGGGCCAGTGCTGGGCGTGGTGTGACTGAGTCAGTCGACATGTTGTTCCATCTAATTAGGTGGAGTTGACCTTGCGGCCGCCAAGGATAAGATCGAAGACTTTGGAGTTCACTGCAAGCAGTACTACAGCCTTCCGATCGAAGTCTTCAAGAACAGCACCTGGGCATTTTTGCCAAAACAGACCGCATCGAACTATGACTATGAGCCATGTTGTTTTGTGGGGGGTTGGACTTGTGTTGGATCAGCGAACAGACTGCACGAACCGGCGCTTTTGGTTGCCCTTTCTAGGTGAATGCCACATGGTCTTTGCATACAAATGCTTTTTGGTCCGTCACCTAAGGCTTGGACAACACCATCTTGGAGCTACTGTGGAACAAGTACTGGATCGACACCTTATCCAGCTCCCCCTTGTTGCACAACCGGGGATTTTGCAATCAGATGATCCAGGACCTTTCGGGCCCAACTTGCAGGCTGAGTCAGAGAGCTTGATAGAGGGGAAAGCAAGTGTGAAGGAGTGTTTCGAGAACCCACTGAGTTTCGAGACCGCCCCATGGCCGTGCGTGCCGAAGTAGAAAGCTTGTGTGCTTGACGTGCGGCCAGTGGCACAGATGTGCATGGCGCCATGCGTAGAGGACCATGGACCACAAGCTTCGTGGTTGGCTTGTCCTTGTTGGTGATCAGTTAGTGTAATCTTCCAGCTTGGAAGTTGCCCCTTATCCTTCACTGGAGTTCGGGTGGTCTTCGAAGACAAGCTCCCGCTGCGTTGGAAGTCTCAATCAACTATACTTGCTTCTCACCGCAAGCCCTTGCTCATAAAAGACCCCCTATTCACCATCCTCATTCATGTTCTATGTTTTGCATTGTTTTGCTAACTCTCCAGCAAGCAGGACTGCGTGCAGAAGATGGACCAGATCCTCGATTGGCCAAAGAGCAGAAAGCAATGCCTTAGGGAAGCTTTTGGGATCGAGTTGCCCTACGCATTGTTCCCTACCCACCAAAGTAGCACAGCAGTCCATTTCCTCTATGGGTTTTGCAGATGATACCCTCCCAACAATCATGGAAGTGGACAACCCCTCTTGGTAGAGGAAAGTCGTCTTCCAAGGGGCCATGCCAGCCACTTCCATGATTTTTGGAAGGAAGAGTATTCCTTTGTATTTCTTGGGACACCTACGAGCTCGTGGATTACAATCATACACATTTTGGGACTGGGAGCGCATGCCTGCGGGAAGTCACCGGGCAAATCGGGGATGACGTGATCTGATCTTCGGTGATTTGATCTGAGGTGTTTGAGAGAGTTTTCACTTAGTGAAGTCGGGAAGCCTATTGATGGCCCATCAAGCCACAAAAAGACCTGGCAGGCACTTTGGAGTCAAGCCATGTCAAGACCAGTTTGTTCAGGTGCTCCCCCCCCCAGAAAGACACAGAAACACCTACTTGTATCATCTTGAATCCATACGTTTTGGGCGGAAGGCCAAGCCATGTGGCCAGTAGCCAACACCGTGCTTTGCTTCACAACGCCTGGTCGTCAGGATCGACATGACTGCAGTGTCTCAGTCCCGGTTCCGCGTGGCGATGATGGAGCCCCGGAAGCGGAAGGACGAGAGCGCCTGGGCGCAGGGCGGGATCCGGCACACCACACGGGTGAAGGGAATGGGACAGTCTGACACCTTCCGCACCTACCAGGCTTCCAAGAGCAATCTGACGAAGTGAGCAATCCTACAAAGTGGCCCCGGTCTTGAAAGAGAAGTGTTTTTTTGTTGAGTTATAGCTGTTTGGACTAGAATTGCCTTTAGGTTTTGATGACAATCTTTAGTTCCCTTCAGTGGCCTACAACTCCACAAAGGTTGACCCATTGGGAGTTTTTTGTGGAACTTGCCAGGGGTCGTCTTGAACTGCAGGGTGTCTTGCTTGGATCATTTCTTTGCTGTCCGGTTTGGTTTGACTCTGGTGGGATGCAGCACCTTCACCTCAAACCCAGGAATCCAGCCGTCTTTTAGGTCCCAAGAGAAACCCAGCATCATCCGGCTTGCCATGAAATGCACTTTCTGGAGAGAGTCACTTGTTTGTTCGCTGCCCTCATGTTCCACGAGACAGTGCCAGTGGGCTCGGATTTTGTGCGGCAGATCATGTTGGGTCAACTTTAATTCGCAAGTGAATCTGCAGGCAACAGTCACGGGCCTGCCCTTGGCGTACACGCTAAGAAAGAAAGAAAGAAAGAAAGAACATGAAAGAACCCAAACCTTAATTTTCCGTGATCCTTCAAGCCCTGAAGGGAGCTGCATGGCAATCCTATGCAATCCTGAGGTTTGCTGAACAAGGTCGCCATCGATGCCTCAAAGAACGCCGGCGAACAAGTGCAGGGGCTCACCAGCCAGGTGAGGACCATGACCAGTTGAGGCAGAGGTGACTGGCAGAGGTGATTCGAAGCTTTATTATGGATTGATGATCCATGCAGATGCAGAAGAAGATGCTTAGTTTCCTCATGTTTCCTCGCGACCCGCCACCTGACTGTTGCTGCGTTTCGGACATGATGCCGTTAGTGATGCCGCTATATTTGGGACGCTCCACAGCATGCGTATAGTATATGTATGTGTATATATATATATATCCTTTTATTGACGGAAATGTATATTGTACCTGCAACAGCCAGTAAACGATTAAATTCTCACTACAAGGCCTGGCAGCTTGGCAGGTCGTGAAGTTCGCCCTTTTCCAGGGACGTGCATCCTGTTCCTGTCGGCACGAGCTGCTCGGGCTCGGCAGCTGCGAGCAGCTCCGTCCGTTTCGCGATGCGCGATGGGATCCAAGATTGAAGTCGGACTACCAGTATCATCCAGCATCTTAGAGAGTCTTTCTAATAGTCCCATCTTTGGAGGCTTCGACCATGTTCGACCGCAGGTGTCGCTTAAAAAAAGGAAAACACCGTGCCAACATAACTAGCAGCCTAGCAAGTGCGGGGGGAGAGCGTGGGCTGTCCAGCCCAAGTACTCCGAGGACCGAGCAGCCGACACCTATGGAGAGTTGAGATGTACAGCCCAGCAGTGGACAGCAGTGGGCATCGGATCAAAAGGAAGAGCAGATGTATACAAAAGGCATCGGATCACACATGTATACAATCAGATCATGACTCACTGTGTGAAGGAGTTTGAGTCGGTGAGTTGGCAATGTTATGAGTCATGAGCGTAAACCTCCAGATTCAGGGGCAGTTCTGAGGCATCAAAAGACATTTGTATTCATATATGAACCCTGGCCAACGACTCGATAGTCACGCGTGAAGCCCAAATAGATGTTTTAGCCTTTGTTTGATTGAGACGGAAGTAAGTAGCCCAATTAAGTTGTGATTCAAGGTGCGCCCGTCCGTTTCCAACCACACTCATCCGCGCTCGGCCTGCCTGTCGTTTTTTGAGGTCCTGAAGAAAACCGTGCGATGTGTGCTGAGCTGAGCTGAGCCAAGAAAGCCCTAAAACCTGGGGCTTACTTGTTATTACTGACGGACAGCTATCGCGGCTGGTTATTGCAGCTATAGCAAGAGCATACAATATGAATGTTAAAGAGGTTATCGGTTATAAGATAGTTATAGAAAGACGGGATAGTTATATTGCTCCACGTGTTGCAGATTAATATCTCAACTCAGATGCCGCCTTATTGTTTTCCCTCCACTTTCGGGCCAATCCCACACTTGTTCGACTACGTTTGGCGCATCGAAGGCTGCTCCTCTTCCGGCGGGCTAGCCGCTGAGGTCACAACAACTGACAACAACTCCATCCAGGCGACCTGGGAGAGGCTTCAGCGGCTACAGATTCCAGAGTAGATGGCACAGGCACCCCAAGATGTGTTTTAAAATGCAGGTGAATATAAACCACCAAACTTGGGGATAATTATGCCATCTACTCAATCCACTCCAACATCCAATGCGAGGCAGTCGACTTGGGACAGGGGTCGTTTCGGCAATCCCAGAGACACCCAGCCGGGACGGTGAACAGAGCGTTTGGGGCGTGTTTTGTTAGCATCCTACCCCATCGGATACCTCGCTACTCCGGCGGGGACTGGGTCGACCTTGGTTCTGCGACTAGGGGTCGGGTCTTCTCGGTGTCTCTCAAATTGATGCGTGGCGGTGCGCAATAGGATGATGACACCCATAGATGTGCAATGCCAGCCTTGCGATTTGGAGACCGGTCTTCCCAGTCACCTTTGGACCAACCCCACGAGGGGGGTCCAACATGTGTACTTCTCCCGAAGTCACCACTGTTCGAGTTGGGCAAGTTGCCGCGGGGCCACTAGATGCATTGGTCATAAGGCAAACTATGTTGCATCACATGTCATTTTGACAGAAGGCTTTCAATCATTGTGCTTTGGTCGGGGAGATCATTTCTCAAAGCCTACAGTATCAACCAAACGGTGGTTTCCCATGTTCGCTTATGCTACCCATTCCTGCTTGGTCAATGTGGTGTGGTGTGTCCAAAAGGTGACCAAGACATTGACAAGACATTGACCATGCAAACATGTCATTTCGGTGCGGACCATGGTGCTTCATGCTTCATGCCGGACCCATGGGGCTGTGCAGTTTGCGACTGATGAGATAGATTTGAGGCGCTCTTCCGACTGATGGACTGCTACTTTGTGAACTTCATCCCCAATGAGCTGAAACCCGCCAACACCTTCAAGGAGGCCATCGCAGAGCTCCTTGGAAGCTGTTGGTGGTTTGATCTGGGGAAGATTGGACTGAGGATGCCAGGTGTCATCAGGTGTCGGTGGGTGCAGAACTTCGCCCCTGAAGCACACGTGAAAAGCATCCATAGATCCAGTGCAGTATTCAGTGCCCAAGATCCCAGACGCTCAAGTTGGAGCCTTTTGTTGTTTTTCGTGCACTGCTACGTGAAAGTCTCCTAATTACATGACAATTTGACAGAGGCCATCATGATTTCCTAGTACACAGATTGTGCAGGTGTCCTGTGTGTATTTTCGATTGGCTTACAGCTGCAGCTTGTAACCATTGGTAACTACAATTAAAGTCGCGAAACATGCGACTGCACACAAGTCAACAAAATTGGCATGTCATATTTATTTGACTTAGCCACTTGATTTGTAGCATGTCGTTGTTGGCTGTTGCTTAGTTTTTGGCCGCATTGCGGCTCCTAAAAAGCGATGTGCATGATTGCAGGTTGCAAACCTTTGGACTGCCCAGGTTAGTCCCGAACCTCATTCCGCTCTTCTTCTTTTGCTTGGTTTGGTCTATTGGAGCCAGCTGCGATGCCAAGAGCCGGAAGGGCTTCAGCGATCTGGCCCGGGCTTCAGCGATCTCGTCGTCGCCCGAGCGGTTTCGACGAAGTGATTCTCTAAGTTGGAATGTGCAAAGATCTAGCCATAGTTAAATACTATGTGACATTATGTGACTATGTGATACCGTGATACCTGATAACTATATACTGATTGTATATAGACTGGATCCGAGATATAGAAGACTTCTCGGCCGGCGCGGTGCCTGACATGGTCCTCAGCAGGTGTGGGCTATGGTGAGCGAAGATCTTCGTCCGCCGGTGGTGGAACTCCTGGAGAAGGCCTTTATCCAGGCGCGAGAGGATGCAGGTCATGGAGCAGATGACCAGCATGCCGCCGTGAGGTCATGGGGTAGAGGGTTTCAGGGTGCCAGCAGCTCCGAGCTGATGGAAGGGGATGGAAGAAGACCGAGCAAATACCCTTTATGAGCTGCTCTCCTTTTGTAAGACATATATATATATATATCACATATGGTTAAGACTGAAGTTCGGGTTTGGGTTCGAAGTCAGTTGGCCTATCCAACGCTATCAGGACAGTATCTTTGAATCTTACGTTGTATAGTGATGGAGCATCAATGTGGATCCGAGGCTGCTTCCCACTCACCGAAACCAAAGCAATATTTGTCGCAACCAGTGTTGCGCAAAGAAGTGCGTCCTCAAGAGGGGCCTTGCCAGCAGTTATCCAACGCTGTCCTCCTAGTTTCCCACCTTTTGTCATTGCCTTCCACAGTCCACACCTCCCGGGAACGCCATGTGGGTGGGGAAACCGGCCAGGTGCCACCCTTGCAGGAAAACGTGACCTTCGCGGGCATTGAGCCGGGCGATTTGCTCTATGACTACTTCTATGACCAGGAACTGGTGACAAAAAGGGGGAAAGAATGATCCGCGATCATCCAGATAGGAGCTGCATAAATCATGACAAGTACCACCGCAGATAGATCATGACAAGTCCACAAGCCATCATAGAGCGCCTGAGTCAACATGTTGGATGGGATGCCACTTAATTACATACTTCATTGACTTTGAGGTTGTCCCTTCAACATTGGCCAAGCAGCTTGGAGGCGAATGAACATCCAGCCTCAACAGACCCAACGATCCACCGAGTTGTCCTGAACTTATCTCCAGACAACCTGATAGTAAGAACCCTGACCATGTTTGCGTCTTCCAAATCCAAAACCTATTTAATATAACACAACTGCCATGTTCGCTGGGTCCTACCATCGCAGGAGAAGCGACAGTTCGTGCCGTGGATGACGACCATCCCCAACTTCGAGGCTTCGATCGAGCACCGAGTGAGTTCGTGACGTGTTTCATGACACTGTCGCGAACCTTCCAAGACACCGGAGGCCGGTTGGACAGGTTGGACCAGTATAGTTGTTACGCGTTGTTACATGATGTTACATGTATCATGTTCTTACATGGCTAGAATGCTAGAGTTAGATCTAACTCATCATGGCAATGTTGTTAAAAAAGAAGCCACATGCCCCTTGGCATTTTTTCTCACAGAACTTCAGCCAGACGCACGGTGCGGGTCCCGACTCCGCGCAGGTGCCACGGGTGGCCAAGTACGAAGAGATCGTGGTGCCCTCCGTGGACTCGGCGGAGGAACCCAGCGAAGTGGAACAACGGAAACCCGTGTTTTGAGACCCACATGGAAGCTGATAGAAAATGGACAATGCAAGGAAGACTCGCTTCCACAGCAGTTCTTTTTTGTGTTCTTGCTAGTGGGATTGCTTTTTGTTTTTTTTTTGGGGGGGGGGGGGGACACACGCACTTGGGCCGGTGTATGGATATGTATTGACGTGTTGTTTGGGGAAGTGTGTGCAAGCTTTTCGGAATGAGTTTGGCAACGTAAATGCACTGGATCGAGGACGGGGTGAGGGCCTAAGTAAGTGAGGCTATGTAGTATTTTGGGGTATTGTGGGTGGAGTCCCAAGCAAAGCAAGCTTTTTTGGTGCACATTGATTGCTCAGAGTCCACATCGATTGTGTGTGTTTTTTTTGCGTCGTCCCAAGATTGCTTTCTTGAGAGTGGGACCGTCCCAAGAAACCTGAGGTCCGCTTGGTGTATATCTTCCAGCTGTTGGTGCTCAATGACAAGCACGTTTTGTGCCCTGGGCCTCTTGGCCCGAACATAGACTCACGAGTCGCTGGCGATGTCTCCTGGAATTCTTGGCAACATACATGTGTAGCGCCACCTTTGCTGGTTTGTCTTTGTTTATTTATGGGGAAGGATGTCAGAGCATAGTTTAACAACTATATTCAATCTTTAGCATGCATGCATGCATGCTTCAGGGACTGCATAAATCTTCTCCAGTATACTGTTTAAGGAGTAGACGATCATCCAAATACCTGCCCGTCGCGCGCGGTGTTGCGACGCTGTCGCCTGTGACAGGCCTACAGGAACTGGGAAGAGCGTCAATATCTCTTTGTGGTTGCAGAAGCAGGCTCCTCCCCCGGGTTTTCCCGTCGTCGGGATGGGTTTGATATGAGATGTTTGTGAGGTCATATGTACCATTGACATTGATCAAAAACGTATGTTATATAGTAAGTCATCTCATGAGATGTTCTCATCTTATTTGAGCTGATTTGTTTGAGATGAGAATGTCATCGCATGTCATTTTTTCGACTTCAGAGAAATTCGGAAGCGGGGAGCTACTGGCCCACCGGCCCGGCCCGGGCCGTCTCCACCAACAAGACCACCTGGAGATCCCCACCGTCCTCACAGTTCGGAAAGAGGTCAAAGCAAAGAAGAGGGAGTGCAAAACGGACCAAAACAACAAAAGATAACAACCCCTC